GTGGTGCAGCGGGTTAAAGCACAGCACTGAGAAGCTGAAACCACTTCTGAAGAGTTCAATTCCCGCCTGCCCTGGAGGTGACCACATGGTGTGGCAGACCTCTCCTGACCTGCCTGCTGCTCTCCTCAGCAGTGTACTTCATCGATCTGCCTGTTCTGCTCCCCACTCTGTCACTGGTGAAGTCTTTTGCCACCCCTGAGCCTCTGGCCTGTACCCCAGTTCTGTATGCACAAATAAATAAATCTTAAAAAAAAAAAAAAAGAAAGAAAGAAAGAAAGAAAGAAATACACTGCTGAGGAGAACCGCAGGAGAGGTCTGCTGCACCATGTGGGGCACCTCCCTGGTGGAGCTCCTGCTACAGTTGCTGTGGATAGCTTCATAATGCTGTGCTTTAACCCCTTTTGCCACCATGGAGGCCTACAATGTTGTAGGTTCTGAAACCTCAACCACCAGCTAAGCTTTGTCTCCTGACCCTGACAAACAACTCAGCCCTACATTCTGTAGACATTCAAACTCAACATGTCTTACACTTAACTTCTAAATATCCTCTTTTTTTGTTTTGTCCACTCAAATGAAGAAAAATACCACCTACCCATACCAGAAGCCATGTCATCTTTGCCACTACTTCACTTACTATAGCCTGTCATTTACCTGCTTCCATTGATTCTGTCTCCTGATCATCACAACATTATTCCATTGATTCTGTCTCCTGATCATCACAACATTAGTTCATTTTCTCTCTTTTTTTATTGACCCTAACTTAGGTAAAGCCCTTGTACCTAGGATTTGAGCCATTGTGGGAATATATCAGATTAAACTAAAAATCAACTGAGTTACTCCATGTCTAAAGTGCACACTATGTATCTTAACACATCCTCACTTTTTGCTTAATTCAACTTGTATTTTTGTCAATTAGCAATATTAAAAAATAATTAGCAATATTAAAAAAAATAAAAATCTGCCCCCACTATTAAACAATGCCTTCCATAAAGACATGAATCCTGTGTCATCAGTATTTGTATTCTTAACAATAATTATAATACCCGTAGGTATCAGTAAATATCTGTTAAATAAAGAGATTACAGGTGTATGAAAGAAAATGTCTAAATAAAAATAAATTTATATTTTTATAAAATTTATTATTTATGAAAACAAGAACTAGGGTAGAGGCCATAGGTGCAGGGGGTAAGAGGTTTAACCAGAGACTTTTTGGGGAACAGAACAGGTGGATCTACCAAAATACACTGCTGAGGGGAGCAGCGGGTGAGAAAAGAGAGGTCTGCTGTGCCATGTGGGTTAGCTCCTTGTTCAGGGATGGAACTCATGCTGCAGTGGCTGTTGATTACATGATAGTGCTGTGACTTTAATCCCTGTGCCACCAAGGAGACCCTAAATTGTGATTTTAAAATGTATTTTTGGGTAATAAACCATCTCACTAGACTATAAATAAATTGAATATTTTGACTGTGTATAACAGCTCTGAACCTCACTGTGTCTTTTTTTTTTTACGATTTATTTATTTATTCATACAGAACTGGGGTACAGGCCAAAGATGCGGAGGGTGAGAGGATTCACCAGAGACAGAGTGGGGAGCAGAACAGGCAGATCGACGAAGTACACTGCTGAGGGGAGCAGCAGGCAGGTCAGGAGAGGTCTGCCACGCCATGTAGTCTCCTCCGGGGCAGGCGGGGATCGAACTCATGAGGAAGTAGCTTAAGCTTCTTTTTGCAGTGCATTAACCCGCTGTGCCACCAGGGAGGCCTCCCTCACTGTGTCTTAATAGATTCACGATAGTGGATTACATTAGTTAAGATTTTTAATTTGGCTATACATTTGCCCCCATATTCATATTCTACTTTTTCTTATTTCATTCAGAAGGGAAATGGAAAACGTACTTTACAGTATTCGTTCAAAATCTTATGCAAGCACATTCATATAAAAAAGACATTCATATCCTCAGAATTACCTGACTTTTCATTTATCCTTTCACATCAATGTAACTATATATTTATCAAAGCCAACCTTGGAAAATGCCCTAAACACATATAATATTGTGATATAAAACCAACAACAAGAAACTCCCTGGTGCAGTAGGGGCTAAGTCTTAATGCTATGGGACCATCACTATTGTACCCTTAGTTCAATCCCCGCCAGGGAGGTGACCCACAAGGAGCAGCAGACCTCTCAGCAGTATATTAGATCCACCTGTTTTGCTTTGCACTCTCTCTCTGGTGATTCTCCTACCTCCCACATCTTTGGCCTGCACCCCAATTCTTGTATGCATAAATAAATAATGGGAAACAAAAACTCAAAGAATATGATCACAGTATTCAGTCTCTTGCATCCCAGATGGAGATCACTTGCTTTCCTAGAGAGCTGGGACTTGGAGTAGCCTTTTAATGAGAAATGATTTGGCAAATGATGTGCAAGCATGTTGCCAGGAAGTGGGGGGGAAAGGCTTTAGGAGAATTCTTTAAGTGAAAAAATCCTTAAAGAAAATATACTTAACAGAACTCCAGAAGAGTTTGATTGACTAAAGTTCAACCAACCAACGATTAGTCATGCTCAAGTCCATACATGTGCACACACCACATACTTGCTATCTCTACTGTTATCCAACAAGAGTGACATGAACATCAAATTTCCCTTAAGCCTCGGCTAACAGCCTGGTTTGGACCGAAGTTAACATTTTAATGTACTAACTACATTCAAGGGTGTTTGAGGAATAATTACTCCATCCCTTTCAATATTTAAATTTTCCTAATTTCATTTCAAATTATTTCATTGTATTTGTATGTAGCTTCTTAAAATAAAACACTGTAAGGTATTGAAGTGACTCAGTGGCATTTTTTTTGTTATTATTATTTAACAGAACATGTTCTTTAATTCTTCACTCTCAATGTCTCCCAGTATAGGGCATATAGGGAATAAGTGCTTTATGTACCAGGTATGAGTAATGAGAAAAGATTTTGGCCTAGTAAGTGATGGGTATAATGAACAGGGCAGTTCGTATGTAGTTTGACTTAAAATAAAATATAGTTACGAGAGGCTTCACCAGAGACAGAGTGGGGAGCAGAACAGGCAGATCGACGAAGTACATTGCTGAGGGGAGCAGCGGGCGGGTCAGGAGAGGTCTCCCACGCCATGTGGTCACCTCAGTCCGGGGCAGGCGGGGATCGAACTCACACTGGAAGCGGCTTTAGCTTCTCAGTGCTGTGCTTTAACCCGCTGCGCCACCAGGGAGGGCCACATTTATTATTTTAATGGCTAGAACCAAATGTCCTTTGAAGGTGGAAAATAACTTTGGAAAAATACATTGAACTCTTTGAGTGGGATTAATAGGTTTTAGAGGAATTATTCTGCATGGCTAATTAGAAAAAAAAAAGGAAAGGAATTTGGAAAGGAATAAGAGCAGTATAAATAGGAAAGAAGGGAAGATTATAGAGCAAAATATCAGATCATTATTATTAATAGATTTTTTTTTAAAACAGGAGATCTGATATTCCACTTGAGGTTCGGGCTTTGTTAAGCTATAAACTCCCATCCATCACCCTGAAGCCATTAGTTTATCTATGTTCACTTAAAGACCTCTGTGTTAATGCTATGATGTTTTCACTGGTTTTCATTTTATTTTGTTGGGTTGACTTTGGGTGTTAAGAAGTCAGACAAGGGTCTGATGCTGATGCTTGGATTGATGGTGTGAATAAATAGGAGTATCACATGGAGAGCAGCAACATGATCCATACAATGAATTCATTTACTTTTTGCAATGCTTTGGGGCCAGAGGTACACCTTGAGACCATAAGCTCCTGAGGATGGCTGCACACATTATGAGAGATCACTGACACTTTGGAGAGAAGAATAGGTTTTCAGCCAACATTATCTACATACTGGGGTACATGAAGACTCCCACTAACTTTGAATCAAACATTTTTTATCAAGTCTTTCTTATATCTGGGACTTATCAAAACAAGTATATGTGTTTGCACATAGATGCATATTCACTTATATGACCAGGTGTATTCAAATAAAGAAATATAATGTATACTATACAACCACAGAAATACTTTTGATACAAGCTGTCACATTTTGAATTTAGAACAAATAAACAGCTGTGATATTGTAAAATGAATGTTAACTTATAAAGGTAAACATAAAAATGGCAAAAGGAAAATGTAGGTCAATAAACACTCATATATCATATATATCATAGATGTATATATTACACATGTATGTATATATGTGTGAATATATATGGTTTTGTTGAAAATACAAACTTTGTTCTTTCACAGCATTTACATTTCTAGCTGTTTTACTTTTTGACTGCTTAGAGGATCTTAGGACTGCTTAAGTTTCCCTGGGGTGAGATGAAAGAATAATAGAAGAAGCTTTCTTTGCTACTCATGAATTTAAAATTTACTAGGGAGCTGAGATTTAAAGACATGAAAATACTCTTACTTGTTTTATAGTTTATAAAGAATTTATATACATACTACCTCATTTAACCTTGCAATGTTTCAATAAGTTTGAGTGGAAGAACAGTATTCATTATATCCATTTCAGAGATAAAACTGTAGAGAAGGTGACTTAAATAAGACCACAGAGTCATATATAACTTCATACTTCATATTGTTCTTCCTTCCTTCACCAAATAAAATAATCCAAATTTAATTATGTACATAAAAATCATATGTACCATAGTATATAACTATAATCAGATAAGCATAGGTATTGCCTTTTTTAAACAATATTGGACAATAATTTCTTGTTCAAAAATTAACAAGGAAAAATCATGGTAGAGTTTATATATATATATATATAGTATGCAATTTCATATATGACAGTTTTACATTTACTTTAAAAAGTTCTACCAACCTATTTAAGTTTCTTCTCTACATACCCCAGGTTGTGCCATATCTTTTTATTTAACAATATATGTTTTAGTATCACATAGCTTCACCAAAGGAGTTAATCTAAGGAGTGCCCAAGCTGCCACCTACCTTGCAAATTTCAAGCAGCTTCTCACTGGTATATTTCATTGGGTGTTCAGTGAAGGTAGCATATGGCATCTGAGTAGACCAAGGGTTCCAGCGGGACAGCAGGGACGGCTGGCCTGGACTCCCCCAGTAGATCCTCAGGCCTTCTCCTTGTCTCCTACAGCAAAACAATTTTCCTTTAGACTAGCTATTTCTGCTAAATTAAAACAAAATGAAAGAGATGAGAAAAGAATGCCGTCTCTCAACCAGCTTGTTAATGATGTTAAATTCCATTATTCTATGGAATACAAGAGATGAAACAAAAGGGTGAATTTGTTGTCAAATATGATGATTTCAATGAGTTGTTGATTATTACTCTATGGGAATGTGTAGCTGGAAATGTGATTCTGGTACTCAGAGGAAAGGGCTGGAAGTTCTTATATTTATCTCATGCCAGCTCTTCAGACTGGAAGAGTTAAAAGAGATAGGGAGAAGAAAAAGTCAGGGTGGTGGAACAGGAACTGCAAGTCAAGGTGAGAGACAGTTTCAAAGAGGGCACAGAAGATAATAGCAACAGTTTCCACAAAACAGTAAACACAGGGTTAACAGGCAAAAAAAAAAAAAAAAAAACATAGAATGTCCCAAATAGGAAGGTATGTGTGATATTCAAGAGAGATGATAAGCTTCAAAATATCCTATGACCTCAGTTTCTATTCAGTGTTGTACACATTCTATCCAGGGGAATTGTATCAAGAATCACCTTTCCTTCCCCACTAAATTTGCAGTTCTGATCCATAGTATGGGGATGATGTCCTGTACCTAGTAGAGTCCAGGTCTAGCCATATGGTAAACCCAAGGGCAGAGCAAAAGAATGTCAATTTGAGAATGGTAGGGGGGAAGTTGTGGCAGGGGAATGCCATTGTTAAATAACAAAGTTGTAATTTCTATGGCCTCTTGTTTTGCATGTGCCCACTAGAATTTAAGGCTCGTGGTTTTAGATATCTCTGAATACAACAACATCCCTGGAGGTTAAGCCAAGTTCAGATGGTTAGCATTCAACAAGATTTAAAACTCAGTTGCCTATAATTTTATATAGCCATCCCATGGAAAATCACAGAGGTCTCATTTCATCTAGAAATTAAATCCTGGATCTTGAATGAAAAACTGGAGTTAATTGTGGTGCCTTCACAAAGTTGTCACTTCCTGTATTAAGAGAGGAATTCTTTTGGAATGCTACTGTGGTTTCTGAATGTTTATTCATGTAGATATATGTATAAACACACTCTCACATATATGCATATAAACACTCTCTCCCCAGTTGGCCAATCCCTAAGTTTCTTCTACAATTGGAAAGTAAGAAAAGAGACTAGCACATTCTGTGGCCTAGTTCTCTCAAATTGTTAATGATTATATTTGAAAGCTGACACCGAATCTTCCTTTTTGTATGTGTATACTTAATCCTTTGCACAGGAAAAAAAAGAAAAAGATAAATAAAAAAGATGAGAGAGGAAAAGAAAAATACTGTACATACCTCTAAAGTAACTTTTCTAACCTCTCATCTTTCTCAGGTGAGATGTTGATATTTATCACCCCTCCCCCTTGTACTTTTCTTCATTTTTATTATTTTTTTAATCTGTCCTGATAATAATCCCAAAGCTCAATGAATATTCTATGCATGCTGATTAATGGAGCATTCTGGCTTGAGTCCATTAAATCAACTTGCACAATGGAATTATTTACTGCTTCATATGTCAATTTATGTGCTGGGTGCAATTTTGTTTTGATCCAAAGGGGATGAAATTCTGCCAAGATAGCTCCTCTAATAAGTACATTTCATATTCTTTCTCCTTAGGGAAACCCCAAATGAAGTTTAAGCATGTTCAAGAGGGGCCTTACTGTTAAATAACCAATCAATTAGAGCTTGCCAATGACCTTTCTCATAGATGAGAATACTTCTAAATACAAAAGTTCAGCCAAATTCCTCTTTAAGTCTTCAGGTGGTGGCTGGGAATATAAACCAAGAACTATATAATCTCTCCAAACATAAAGCAAAGATGGTGCTTCCCATAAAAGCCTTTCATAACAGCTATGAAAAGGTATTATCTTCTGTGGAACATCATTAAGGCACTTGGGGAGACTATAGACCATTGATAATCAGGAATGTTTTATTAAATATTTTACTTGTATTTAACATGAAAGAAGAAGTCAAGTTGTGTAAAGCAATAGAATGGAATAAAAAAATGCAATGAATGGGATGTCATGGTAACCTTGTGGTAGAGTTGTGATTTTCACACTTACTAATAGCTGACAGTGGGAAAGCCTATTTCTCTTCCTGAATCTCAGTTTTCCCATATGTCCTTTAGAGTTTCCATTTGGTGACTAGTAACTCTGTTGAATGGTATAGACAACAACAGCATTGATGCCAGTAGCACTCACCTAGTCAAGGGTGTACAGATTTCATAAGAAACCTTCCAGTTAAAGTTTCATTAGTTTGGAGCTATCGAATGAACACATCTTCTGCTACGAAAGGTACATCAGGTATCACCCCATCACTCCTAGGGAACATCATGCCTACCAGTATATTTCACAAACATGCAAAAGAACAAATTAGGTAAGCTGTGGTATAGGAATAGTTTTAAATTACAAACTGTAGATAGTTGAGTTAGATGGGCTCTTGGAAGTCAAACCCCAGTGCCTTCTTTCTGGACATGAGAAAACCAAGATTCAGAAAGGGTTTTTCTCTAGCATCTGTACAGCCAAGGATGAACTGATGAAAGGCAAGTCTGTTCTCCCAAGAACTCATAGATATATTTAACCCTTTTAAACTACTGTCACCAAACATCTTCCAAATTAAAATTCTATCATTATACAACACTACCTTATTTCCAATAGACACACAGTTAAAATAGTTACTGAAGGACTGCTCTGTGACAAAGAACTTGTTTAGGCATCCTGGCTAAAGATCAAAAAGAAAATGTCAGTTCTGTCTCAAAAAGAACTATGTATTTTTTTTATGTATATTTCAATATTAGCAATTATGAGATTGTTGGAGAATCAGGTCGCACTGAAGTGAAAGGAGAATTTTTAAAACTTAAGTTTTAGGGGAAAAAGATGGAATCTTTCTTGCTAAGCTTCTATGGTCAGGTAAGTCAAAGAGGAAGTCAATCTCTGGTAACGAATGCCAAAATCAAATTATTACACAGAGAAAGATTTAGTATTTTTCTTCCTGAAATCATACCCTGCATATAAAACTTAGCCTGTACTAACTCTATGTCTTTGGGCATATCACACCATCTTTCTGATCATTTAGCAACAAGAATTTCATGAAGAAGAGTATAATGAATGAAAAAAATGTTTGTCTGCAGTCAGGTACTATCCAATATTAAGAGTCTAGCATGTGCCATAATGTACTTTTAGAGATAATATATATATATTATGTATATATATATAAAAGTATATTTACACACATACACACACACATACATTTACTTTTAGCCCTTATATTTCTATTTTAGTTTATTTGAAAGAAATAGATGCAGCTAGCAGGAAATAAGATGAATAATATTACCAAGTTTAATAGATCACTAAGTATCATTTGTGAATAGAATAAAATTTTTTTAAAAAGTGGAGAGAAATACCATGACCCCAGACATAGATAAAATTAGAGTAGCAAATCTTCAGTACAAAGAGGTGCAAGCTCTTTTATGTTTGTTTCCACTTATTGATCCTTCTGCCACCTGACTCTAAATGCTGGGATACTAGTATTCAGCTTGTTTCTCACCAATAGTTTGATATGTACTATTTTCTCCTTAAACTTAAATCCATCACAGAGATTTCCATTCAGATAGCTAAAACTACTCCTTCAATTCTTGTTTTGTAGACTAAATAAACATATTTCTGTAACACTTTTCTAATTTTAAAATAACCTTTAAAGTCACCTCAGAAATGGTTCCTTAAAATATCACTAAGTTGTCTATCTTTAGTTCCACCATTGACTTAGCACATTCTCTGTGCAGTATATAGTTACAAGTAGAGAAAGTGAAAAGACTCAATCCCTAAACTATCAAATCTCAGGATCTGATGATCTCTAAGCCTATTTTCCTATTGTTCCATCCCTCAAACAGGTGCAAACACTGTAGACATAGAGGATCCCCTACTGCAAATTATTTTGCTTCTTGTTTTTTATCCCTAATTAAGTCAACTGGAAGTGGTCTCCATCCTCATGTTAGTGGAGACAAGAAGGTCAATGGACCCTTAACATTTCAAAGCCTCACAGGAAGATATAGAAGTAGAGATAAGGCTCCATAATATCTCCTATGAATTTGTAAAATGAAGGTTTATAGAAACAAGTGATTTTTAGGGTCCTAACTGCCTGCATTGCAATGCCCCTTAGAGGGTGTTTCCAGTTCTTTCATTTTATAGATATATAAAGTGAGCCTCCAAATTTTCAAAGACCAGAGTTCTTCCTTCATTCATGTTAATTACATGTTCTACTTAGTGACTCAGTCTCAGATTTTTACTCAGATACATTCGTTGGTAGGGAGGAAGTTCCAAGCAATTATTACTTTAAACCAGCATAGCAACTCAAAAGAAGTTTTACCTTTTACACCAAAAAAAAAAAAAGGAAGAAAGCAAACACATGTTGAAACAATGAGGTTTATACAGAAGAAACTATCATACAAGAAAAACCTGATCACGATAATTAAATGGGGTTTAACAACACAAAAAAGGGAGCTCCAAGTTGAATGAAGGGAAAACCACTCTCAATAACATATTTTGTACGACAAGAAATTAGTTATGTCAAAAAGGATCCTCTCTTTAAAGACATATTTAGCTGAACTAGAAAACTAAGCCAGCCAGTCATCAGTCTGGAGTAGTTTACTCATTCCACACATTGTTATTTCTTCGGGGTGAAGTCACTCATCTTTTTGCAAGGCCCAATATACCTAGTGTCCTTTCTCTTGACTCCAACCCCCCTTCCATCCTTCTTCCTTCAGAAGATATAGTGTGGAGATGTTAAACTACCTGTTAGAAGAATTTAATAAGGATGCCAAGCTCACAAGAAAGAGAAATGGCAGCTTCCATTATTACCTCAGTCCCCGGCCCCTCCTTTCTACTCATCTCAAATCTCAAAGCTCCACCACAGAATTAAAAACATAGCTTGAGGCACCAAACCTA